TTTACAGATTTAATACGAAAATAATTAACATTAATTAAAAACACTGCAGGTATAATGAATAATGATCACAATCTCTCTTTCTGAACAAACACTCGACTATCCCTGTAATAATGCTTACAACTGTTAAGGCTCTCATTAAATTGAGCGATTGCAACAGAGTGCGATTTTTATTTCCCTTCCTGTATGAGATCACTTGGTTTTCCTGTCAAGGCCCGTATAGCCTGCATCGACTGCCGCAGCAGCAGAAATGATCATCAAAGGAAAAACCTTCGCGGCAATTACATTCTAAAACAAGCACTCGAAAAAAATGCGGATTAATCGCGATGCAAATGAAATCATTAACGTTTGCGATTCGAGTGCATCTTTTGATTATTATTCGTACCTCGAAAACGAGTTCGCTGTGCATAAATTTTAACTATCGGCAATTATATGTATCTTAACCTTAACCAACCTCAACGAAATGTTGCCTACATCTAAAAGTATTTTTATAAAAAGTGTACTTTTATCATTATCTTCACACACTGTTTAAAATATCTGTGGTGTAAAGAGTAATTTAAAATGGTGTTAAAATCCAACACCAAATGGTGTTAATATAAACACCATGAATTATGGTTGAAAATGTTATATACAGCAAACACTAAAACAGTGTTTATCTAAAAATATTTGAGAAGTGCACCTACACAGAAAAAAAGGAATAGTTCATTTAACTATATTAATTTAGTTGACCCATAAGTATTTATTTAAATCAACTGTGGGAAGGTTAATATAAACAAAGATTAGTTTGACGGTACTAAACCAGATAGTTATTTTAATTTTTTTAAATTGGTTAAATTAACCCAGAAAACTTAAGTGAAACCAACCCGCTGTATGGTTCAGTTTACTAAATATGTTGTTTGTAAAATAAGAGTTACTTCCACCTAAAGCACTCTGTTAAAACGATTAAAACAATTTGCCGTGCATTCCTGGTTGCATAGTGTGTACCGATCGCGGCAAAGGCGGTGTGGATCACGTGATGTTCTTAAATCTCGCCTTTGTTGACTTACATGAAGAGTATATAAGCTCAGGTAGTCTTTTGCTTTGGTATGACACTACAAGTTGTTCGATGCTAAAAAGACCTTAAATATGTGGAAACCGCTGTCAATACTTGAAGTATATTTTAAGTTGGTGGAACGCACTAAAAACATTATCTCTAGCGAGTTGAAGGTTCAATTTTCTGGAATAATACCACTGGTAATATACTAGTAATGCATCAAGGAACTTTCTGTTTCCTTTTTTTTCTGTGTAGTATGATTTAATTTGACCAAAAACACATAATATTTAACACTGAAAAGGAGTTCAATTTACACCAGGTAAAATTTATTTTAATACTGTGTGAAAGTTAAATTTACACTATTTTAGTATTTTAATATACACTGGACCAACGAACCATATTTAACACCATATTGGTTTGTATCGATATAGACCATGTATGGTGTTAATTTGGTGTTAAAATGATCATGAAATTTTGAACAGTGTAAGCGACATCATGGGTGGGTATACATAATGTCCTTTTATATCAGAATTGGCATTAATATTTATTATTAGGAATCATTACGCATTAAGATACCGATGCACCCATACCTGCAATTCTGAGAAATCGACGTCAAACCTACACATTCCGGAAATGCAACGCATTCCATACTATCTACTGTTTTAAATTATGTTGAATGCAGACATTAAATTTATTAACTTGTTTTAAGAATTTTATTGTCTTTTTTCTTCAACAACAGATTTGGCGAATTTCAATCGAGATTGTTTGATTTGATTCCAGGTATTGTGGATTTGCTAATTTCTCCTTATATGACAATATTAATATTATAGAGAAACGGATAGGTTCTTTTGTAATGATAATGAAACTAATTTTGTAAGCGATTAATAAAATAATATTATTTAACTTAAATTTAAAATTGTTATGGCTATAAAAAAATGTACCATCTAAGGTACCTTTTTTATTAAATTTTCAGTGTCTTATTGGGACAAAAACCTACGATTTGTCAAAGTAATGACATTATTTTTATTTACAGAATAAACTTTTTTTACTGTTAATAAAATTCTCATTTACTATAATGAAGCAGCATATAAAAAAATGTTCATCCAAAAAAGTATTGGTATCATACTGTCATGTCAATAAGAAATACTTTTTGTTTATATTAAATCTTTGTCGAACTTAAAATGTTTTTGTTTAATCTATAGTTGCGTGTGAATTGCGCTTACATAAAGTAATGCGCAGTTGTTATAGTAAAATTTGTTCATTTTACTATGGAATGTTTGTCTTTTTTAAATAAACTATCGTTGTAATTCAAATTAATTTTATTTCAGTTAGAAAATCTTTGTTAATAGCTTACGTTAAGAACAATAACAAAAATATTTTATTGCTATAAAAAGACTTTTTTAATATTTACTATGGTTTTGAAATGGTAACCAAATTTTTGTTATTTCCCTTAAAAAGAGGGGGAAAGGGCCAGTGCTCTCCTTGGTGAACATAACTTTATAATCCACAGTCTGTGTTGATTGATTTAACTTTTGCGAGTGGTGTGGTAAAATCTAGCATGATAAAAATATCAAAAGGATCTCAGTAAGAAAATTAAAATTTCGACGTTTTTTAAAAGAAATATTTAAGGTCTATTCTATAAACGAAGCAAAAGTGAGTTCATATTTTTTTATTTTGAACACCATATAATATGAGTTAATTTTTTTGTTTGACCATTGTTACAATGAAAATAGTTTATTGAATTAACAATTAATTTGTTGTTAAATTTACATAAATTTTATTAATATTATAAAAAGTTTTATTTTGAACGAAAAGGGATTTTTTTCATAAATAATACCATTAGGGTTTCATTAATACTACAAAACGTTTTTGTAAACGGTATAGAACTGTTTTTTTTTGACAAATAATAATAACTTTATTTATCAATGCGTTTCTGCATCTGTAAGAGTGTTATTTTTATAAACATAACGTAAATTTACTTTATAATTAATGCAAATGCTATTACTGAAAGCAGCGTTTGTAGATAAATAATTTTTATAAAAATGATCTTTTTGTCGTAACAAAAGCAATAGTTGGACGAATCTTTACTTTATTAAAACAAACTACTTTTTTATTATATTTATTAAAAAAAAATCTGAGTGTATTAGTGATACTATTCCATATTTGATCCCTTTGCTCTACCCTCTTCGTATTTCGGAAATCTCCTTCTTTTCTCACAACTGTACAAGTCAAACTAAAAGAATCAATGGTCCAGGGACCGTATGCAAAAACGTTGATTAATTTATATTAACTGATTTACGCATATCCACTGATTTAAGTTTAAACCAATTTGACAACATCGCAAATTTTAAATCTCTGTAAGGTTCGCAGAAAATAAGTTGAACAGGATCTAAAATTTATAAGTATTTAAAAAAAATTAAGACAAATATTTTTTTAAACACAATTTTGTTTTTATTTTATAATCCTTTGCCCATGTTAATTATTTTTATTTATAAATTTAATTTTTTAAGTTACAAATTTATTTAAAAAAATATTTATTTTTATTTGCTTATTAGTAGTAGTATTTTTTTTAATTATCTAGGTATCAATAAATATTTTCACTCAAGCTCATTCCCAATAAACATTTTTGTGTTTATAGTGGTTGCCATAAATGTTATATCATCAAAATTATAAAACCTACATTTCTTAATTTGGTTACAGAAATATTTATATCGCTCCTATATACCCCTTAAAGAGCTTATTTGGGGAGTTTATAAAGGTTATTGGTACCTATTTTAGTAACACTATAAAACCCAAGTTTTATAACTGGAGATAACAGGAATATTATGGAAACCACTATATAACTTGCTAGAGAACTGCTACCGGCTTTTTTCCTTCATTTAATTTTTCACTCTCCCTCAGGCACATTTAAAATATATATTTCTTCAAAGGTACGCTATCTTTCTTATTGTCATCTTATTCATTAACTTGTTTAAACCACGTGAATATTTTGAGAAGCCAAGTATGGCGAAAATATTAATGGTATATAATTTAAATCTAAAAATGTTTACTCAATACGACTTAAAATGTAAAGTAATTTATTGTAAACATGTAAACAAAATATTTTTTTAAATACATTAACATCTTTATTTTGCTTACATTAAACAAAGTGTTGCATTTTTTACATTTATTTTATGTAAAAAACAATCATGGCGAAAAGAATGTATCAACCTTGAGCCCTCTTATATTGCTCATGGTAAATTTATATAACCTAAGGTACTAGTTCAGTTTTATAGAACTATCTAAGTTACTTAAAGTGTTATTAATAATTATATAATTTTGAACTCTTATAAATATTGTAGTAACTGTCGTTACTACAAGTGATGTTATAAAACTTTTGATAGGCAACCGCTCAAAACTCAGGTTTGCCATTTTTGCCTGCAGTATTAATGTTTTTAACGCAATGTTTATTTCACAATTAGTTTATTTCACTAAACATTCGATTTAATCCACTTTTAAAATTTTTAACAAAAATTATGAAAAAGCGTTGCGTCGAAAGCCAACACTATTTTTGTTTCAATTATTATAAATTTTGTTTTATTTACAGTAACCTTATATGACCAAAACTAGTAAATTAAGTGGTGATTTTATAAAACCTTGTTATACTGTTATATAATTTGACAAACCTTATATAGCCTTTAATCGTTACCATAAGTAGTACAAATTGTTTATTGGGTTGTTAGGGGTAATTTTTTTACAATGAAACCAAATAAACCTATAAATCAATTGATTTCAAGCATTCAGATTTTTGGTCAGACAAAAAAAACAGCAAAAAGATATTTGATATGATTAACATAATAGAGTTTCTGCATACTCTTAGGTTAGCGTTAACATTTAACTTAACACTTAAAAATATATCTTGTGAAGTCTTTTAAGTGGTACCAACAGTCCTACTAGGCCTCCTTTCTTAACAGTCGTTTCATTGTTTCAGGTTACCTCCTGACCAGGGTGGAAGGTAAGATAGGTTCGCCGGAAAAACCTCTCAGCGATCTGGGTCTGATCTCGTATCGTTCCTACTGGAAGGACGTGCTCCTCAACTACCTCTGCTCGAGGGCGGGTACCACGCTGAGCGTGAAAGACATCAGCCAAGAGATGGCGATACACTCGTACGACATCGTGTCCACGCTGCAAGCGTTGGGCATGATGAAGTACTGGAAAGGGAAGCACATCATCCTCAAGAAGCAGGACGTTCTGGACGAGTACGTGGAACGGGTGCAACGCAGGGGGTCCTTGCTGAAGGAGGTGGATCCCACCTGTTTGAGGTGGACGCCGCCGCAACCTGCGTCCGTATGAAAAAGCATCATTCTGAACAGGAGGCATCACATCAGGCTGTTGACGAAGTGATGCCGACTGTCAGAAACTTGAAATCTGATGATTTATCTGGAGCCTATGAGGGCTTTGTTGCAAAAAGAAGAAGCTGTACATATTTAATAATTTGTAAGAATGATTTTTCTACTATTTATCGCGAAAATGTTGTTTTTGAATATCACTGTGATAGTTTTAGAAACTTTTTTTCCTAACATTGAGTACTCAGCTTAGTTTAACTAATTTTGGGCCGCTGATTTCAAAAATGTAATTTGTTTTTCTCTATGACGTCTAGGATTTAAAATAATTTCGTGATAAAATTCTCTGCTCAATCACCTCAAAATGTAAGTCTTTTCATTGTTTATTAAATTATTTTATCTTAAATTTTTTTGTGAATGTACTGAAGTAATTAGTATACGTCAAATAGATCATAGTTACCTTAACAATATGATATTTTAAAATTTTAATGTATTTTATGTAAACAACCATTATTTGACATTTTTTGTCGTTTATTTTAATTATTGAATTGAAAGGGCAACTAAGTAAACAAGTATTTTTATCCAAATTAAGTCAAAATTTAATGCATTGCATAATTTTGCTTTTTTCTACCTTAAATTTATTAAATCGTATCAAATATCGAATTGAATTATAGTATTATTGTGCTTAATCCTCATCATCGTCGTACATCTTTTGCTGCAAATTCCAGCAAATGTCTTCCACCAATGAATCCAACTTCTTTCCGCTATACCCATCTACCTATGCTCTAGATTTGCAGTTACTTGGTGAAATCGTTCTCCATGTTCATCAGTTCGGCAAATTTATCAGGATGAAAAAAAAAATGTATTTTAAATGACATATTAACGTTATTTTTTTACAAAACGGAGAGCATTTTTTCAATGAATTGGCGCCAATTTTAGGCCCGATATGAACCAAGAACATTTTCAATGACAGCTCCCATATGCGACAAGCTCGTCAACTTTGAAAGCTTTTTTAAATGCTTGATTTTTCATTAAACGTCGTATAAGGTCCATTTAATATTCCTGCAAAATTAAAGTAGTATATCTCATAAAATTTTGTAATGAAATATTGCGTTGGTTTTTCTTGGGCGTAAAGGTACAGCAAAAAAAAACAAAACAAGTTTACAACAACATTAAGGTTCGTCTCCTTTCTCTGCCTCTTCCATTACCACTTTCATTTCCTGCTCTTTTTTCATTTTTGGTTCTTAAAATCACTTTCAAGTAAAAATACAATTTAAAGTTTAAATTTTAAATGTCAAAAATTAATAGATGCACTTTAATATGTTTGAACGATAATGTAGATAAAGGCGCCTTTATACTTCAATTCGATATTAAATTTTGATAAGACTTAGGGGCATTCCACCCGCCCGTCACAATTAAAAATTGTGAGTAAAAACCACAAGTTATTAAATTAATATTCTAGAATATTATTTTTATTGTGCTTATAACTTATTAAAAGCATACACAATTTTTAATTGTGACGGGCGGGACAAAAATTCCCGCGTAACGTGGAATGACCCCTTAATAAATAAGATTGGAGATTGAAGTTTGGAGTACTTTAGGCATAATGTGAATAAAAAAATATCAAATAATAGTCGAAGAGTAATGTTTGTTATACCGAAACCCATTTACTTTGTTGCCTTTTCAATTTAATTAATTAACAAAACTTTCAAAAAATCATACTTTTTAACCAAAAAAACATTATAATTTTAGTTTTGGTATTTAATACTACTATAGTCACAGACCACCAAAACAAATGGACGGCGCATTGCCATTCAATAACAATGATTTGTTTGCCGTCAACAAACGGTCACAGTCTAAGCGTCAAATTGGAGATAAAATTTTATGTTTTCTTCCAGTGACGTCATCAAACGGTCACAGTCTAAGCGTTAAATTGGCGATAGAATTTTATGTTTTCTTCCAAACGATATTCCCATGTATTGTTACAACGATATTTCCATGTATTGTTATTTTTAGTAAAAAATAATGTATTTAAACTCCATAATTAACTTAAACACGATAGAAATACACAAACGAAAACACAAAACAATAAGCTGTCAACCCACAGAACATAACCTTTTTCTATGCTGTCAAATATGACGAATTTACCAACGTTGTTAATATTTAATTTTAATAATTATTAAATGATTTACTTTCTTTAAATAGAGAAAAATATCTAAAGAAAATGATGAACAAATCCTTTTTACAATTTTTTTATTATTCAAACGAATTACTGGTAATTATTAATGTTCATTATGTTTGATGAACGTCCAAAAAGGCGTGTACTTCTGACAACGTTGGAAGCCGTGTTTCTTTCGACGGTGTTTAGAATGTGAAATTATGATTTACTCGCTTTTTAAACGTAAACAAATCCGTCCATTTGTTTTGGTGGTCTGTGACTATAGTATACGGCTACAATGGAACAAAAATGTTGGACAAGTCCCTAAACGTCAAAAATATACTGAACATCCAAAATAGATTTATGGCAAAATAATTTAATAAATAATCAAAATATTAACGAAAAACTTACATTTTGAGATAATTGGGCAGAGCATTTTATTACGCAATTATTTCGAATCCTAGACGTCCTGGAGCAAAACGAGTGGCAGTTTCGAAATCAGCAGGTACTCAATGTTAGTAATTCGAACTATCATAGTGTATTTAATTACTTGATAAAGGACAACTTTGTTGGTATGTTAAACAAATATTAGAAATATTCCACCAATACCAAAACAAAACACAAAGTGCTCAAAGTACGTTTCGCCAATCTTCAGAAGCAAAGTGTATAGCTGGATTTATAGTTGGACGTAGACGTAACGTAGACGTAACATAGAAGCACTGCAAAAAGATTAAATATAGAATTTTTGTACTCTTATTTAAAAATGACGTAAACGCAGACGGAAACGGAACGGAAGAGTTGGTTAACTTTTATCTTTTCCATTTCGATTCTTACGTCCGGCCAATCAAAAGAGATAATTATGTGTGCACAGCGAGTCTTACTATGCTGTCACTTGTTCGACATAATTCTAAAAATTTTGGCAAATAGAAAGAAAAATACAAAGAACTCATCTTATAAGACGTTTCCTCGAAAAAAATTACGTATAATTTGTAGGTTATCGCGCACAAATACGTATTCCCAAAAATTCCGTTCCGTTGATTTATAAATTGAATACTTTTTTACAGTCCGTTTTTTACTTATCCAGTGCGTCTACGTTACGTCTACGTCCAACTATAAATCCAGCAACTGTCAGTTGCGCTTTTGAAGTACAATGCTCCACACCTCAAAGTCCCACCACGTGACCACGTACGGAACGCAGTCTTTTGAAAATTTGGCATTTAAGGCTTTTCAGGTTATGTAAATAATATTATGTTTAGGCGTTAAAAATGTATAAATCTTTATAACATTACAATAACAATGGAAGGTTAAATTCTTAAGAATATAAATACTGCATTTAATGAAATTCTAAAGTGTATGGTGCCAAATAAGTAATATTTTTGTGCATTTGGTCCGAATACCTATCTGGTTTTCTCCATAAAATAATTTTAACTAAACAGGATTTATTAAAAAATATCTAGCTTCTCTATTAAGGAATAAGAATATCTTAATTAAAGGTAGGTTAATATATTATAACAAAAATATCATCTAATTTTGTAATTTTAAGCTTAGAAAAATTCATTTTGACTAAAATAAATAAGTATTTTGGGTTATTTAAAAGACTGTATAATATGGTATTTAAAAATGTGGTTTTTCTTATCCAGCTTAAAGTGTACCTACATAAAGTTTTGTCAATACAAATGGTTAAAAAGCTTCGACTAAATTTGATATACATTGAAAAATCATTATAACTTTAAAAATTTTAATAAATCACATGTCATGGGAGGATTAAATATTTTCACATTGCAAGTTTCTCTAAAAATTTTTTGTTTTCTTATAATCTAACTTAAAGTAAGTATGCCGAGAGGTATGCACAAGTGTTAGAAGTATAAAAGCTTCATTTTAATTTGAACCATATTCAACAATTATTTAGTATACCTATGTTTATTTATGACCAAATTAACACACTCTTCCAAATAATCCACTTATTTATTTTGGTCAAAATAGATTTTTCTAACCTTAAAAGCTTTGATATAGATGTTCTTATTTTATAATAGAGAAGTTAGATTTTTTTTAATAAATGCTGTTTAGTTAAAACTATTTTATGGAGAAATGTAGACCCAATGCACAAAAATATCACTTATATTGCACCTTACACTTTGGAATTTCATTAAATGCAGTTTTTATATTTATAAATTCTTAAACCAACTATTGTTATTGTGATACTATAAAGATTTATTAACTTTTAACGCTTATACATAAGCGGTAACACTATAAATATGATTTCTTTCATTGACTATACTTTGACAGATACATAACCTGAAAAGCCTTAAATGCCAAATTTTCAAAAGACTGCGTTCCGTACTTGGTCACGTGGTGGGACTTTGAGGTGTGGAGCATAGTACTTTAAGCACTTTGTGTTTTGTTTTGGCGTTGGGGAATATTTCCAATATTTGTTTAATAGTTAATTAAGTAATTAACAGTGTTAAAACGAGTGGATCGTTTATATTAACCAGCCTTAATTGAGTACAAGTACCTGATTGTTTCTTGAGAGTCACGAATTAGTTATAAATAATTCATGTGAACGTCGAAATAAATAACAACCTTTTGTTGTTGAATTTTATCAACGGCGACCCACAGGATAGCCAAGTTTGTCGACCTTCGAATGAGTTTTGCTAATGAGATTGTTGCTATGGATTTTATTAATTTAATTGTTTCTGAGCGACCAAATTTGAAGGTGAACAAACCGGTAACTGGCCGAATGAATCGGACCTTCTTATTTTCGCTCGAAAAAAATAACATTGCAGACGGCGGACGTGTACACAGGTTTATTTTTGGAAGATTAGCAAACGCTGATTCCTCGCTTTGTTGTGATT